TCTGTCTTTCTGCAAAGGTTGTTAGTATGTCAAATAAAACAGTATTTTTATCCTTGGGTGAATTTTGTATATTAGAAAACAGGCGTGTTTGTTAGATATATTGTGATTGATGGCATTGTAAATGATGACATATTTTTCCGCCGCCACCTCATATGAAATATACAATCGCGGGTTGCAAATTCTGTCGGAAAATTCCAACACCAGTAGTACAAAATTTGTTCGTATTCTGCAACGCTAGTGAAGCGATAGAAAAGTATTCTAGAAAATCGCTCTCTTATATATTTATAGCGTATACTTTATAGCACACAACAGGATATTAAAAATGTTGCTGAGCTGAGCAAAAACTAGACTGAATAATTGAAACAAAAATCTATTAGTGAACGCTAGTCAAAGTGTGTTTCCTACCAAATTTATTCGAATCTATAAAACTATAAGCATTATTCCACCGTCGCAAAGCCGGTTTTGTTATTCCGGAAATGTTTAAAAACCTCTCGAATATTGGACTGAAGTGAATGGTCAATCGCTATTTTTAAATATAGATTTGCAGAAACCTACGTGTGCAATAGTAATAAATTTATAATAATCGAAAATCTGTCATAATAATGGTATTGATGTTAATAGTCAGACTTCGTTATATCGACTTCAATAATTTATCGGTGAAGCGGGGTATCATACATAGAACTTTGTTTGTATTCGGCTAATTCCACAAACCGTAAAATGTTTACGATTCTATATATCTGTAGTGCCGAAGTTACTTTCGCGTTGAAAATGCGTTCGAACTATTTGATTTGCAGATCAAATCTAAATATTCAGAAGCGTATCTCGAAATCTGATTGGTTTAAATGCTAAGAATTTTATAGATCTATCAACACTAACGGTTGAAATACGCTTGTGAGTACAATAGCTTCAGATCTACGCAACCTTGCAAAGCAGTTTCTTTTCAATTCAAGTTTTAGAATTACGCTTTGTTACACAGCGACTATTATATGAGTTCGAAACTTGGAGCCAAAGATCACTAGTATATTTGACTCTTCCAAGAATAGTCAGCTAGCACTAAAGAGAATGGTGACAAGCGCAGTAGTGAAAAGTCTACGGAAATGGCCAAGTATCTTTATGCTTGACGCTTTAGACGATTACTAAGCCACTACAATCGTCAAAAAGTCTTTTATGAAACAATTAACTAAACTGGATGACTCAGGTTTTCAGATTCGGAAAAAGTAGAGAGAAAAAGAAGAAGCTTACTGGTGATAACAATGGGATTCAAGCTTGTGAAAGAAGCTTTTCTGATTTCGGAGTCCAAGTGATCAAACAGATTCCATATTAGGTTAAGTATAAACAAATTTTCTTGTATTTACAAGCAATTGTACTGGAGTTCGTTTTAATTGAGGCTTGCAGCTAGGCGAACGTTTGCTCCAATTTGGTCTACTCGGCGACATCCCAAATCATTTGTTCCTTCGCATGTAATTTTGAAACTGCATACTAACATTTTTAACATAATGAAAACAAAACACACGGCGTCCTAGTTTTATTACCGAATTACGTCGATTTCGGGTTTGAATAAAACATAATTTGTAAATCCGAATGCTGATAATCGTATTTTTCAAAGGTTTGGTAAAATTGCACACACAAAAAAACGTCGTTAGACATTTGGCAACCAATCCCAATAATATATGAAGAAGCAGATTATCAGAAGGCCAAATTTGGAAAAACTCCTGACTGGAATAGACATGAAGCGTTTTAAGCATTGTAAACTCAAACCGCGCGATTTTATGTTGGTAGTCTGTAAACTTCACGAATAAAATGGAAATTGGCTTATCTTTACAAGCGTGTTTATTTTTAACACCTAATACCGACACACTATTGACATTCGGAGTGTTACTTGTAACTATGTACATTAACGTTAATACATTAACTTGACCTCTGTATCATTTAACGTGGAAAAGTATTGTGACGTAGAAAACTTACATTACCCCAGTAATATTATATTCATGAAGTTGTATATAATAGTGGTGAGAAGGCATCTCTTCACCAGCGCGCATACTAGTACTTTCTGATAATATTGAGTCATTGTTATCAATATTCACGTCAATACTGTCCCCGTCCTTGTGCCAACCTAGCAGAATAATACGCTTCCTAACCAGTTTCTCTGACTACAAACAAAAACAGCACAAGGAATAACATTAAGTCTCTCTCCTTTAACTCTGGACAATATTAATAACTATAAATACTACGGACTGTTTTGTTGAACTAAAAAAAAACATGTTTACTGCATGTATTGTTAGTCCTATCGAAGAAATATTTCAATAGACAGAATATAAAAATATCATTAGATGTGAATGGACCTTCGTGCCTATTGTTATGATGCATGCTGGTAACTTTATGTGAATTCAGTACAGTCAAGTGATCGGTTATCGTTTGATTCATTATATTCGGAGACTTGACCTGGATACGCAGTGTTTCTAGACTGCACACTTGGCCTCGATATATTTCCGACTGTCCTTTAGTATATGTTGCATGTGTCATAAAGGAAGGCATGTTAAAATAAAACATATACTTGATCGTATACGGAAAAAAACATAAAAAAAAAAAAAGAAAACGGTACAAAAGCCAACCGGGTCAAAAAACGCAAGCCGTTTTGTGGGTTGTTGGCGTTTTGTGTAATTTTTTTTCTGTGTTTTCTGTTTTTTCTCTTTTTGGCTAAGAATAATTTAATTCGGCATTAGCGCCCCAACAAATTTTCAAAAAGGCTACTCAAAGAAATTATCACAAAAGACAAATCCGCCACATGTTAATTTCCCAGGAGTTGTCAAATCGACGATCAACATTCTCATTGCAATAATTTATTTGCTCCGTCTTTGGCTTTTTTAAGAATGGAAAATAAGTCAACAATTACCAAGTCATGGGCAGTGGATAAACTTTGATTAGTTGATTTGCTTTGCGAACGGTTTATCGAAGAATAATAAGAGAGAAAAGCAAAAGAAGGTCTAAAATTTAAATTCACTGATAAAGAACTAGACATTTTACTGAATTAGGTATAATAATAATAAGCAATCAAATCAAAATATCAGTTAGTGATTAATGTGTAACTTGGCAGTGCCGATCCCGGAATGTTTGTAACACCATCGGAGCTGCGCAGATCGGAGGAATTACGTCACCTACTTCGTCACCACATTATTCGCAGTAAAGGTGGTGCGGTATATAAACCGATCAATTGTTCGTAGTTTGGCGAACAGCAAACGACAGAGACTACAGAAAAGGATAGACTAGTCTGTCACTTATCCACGCTTGATTTTCCGACATTTTACACACATTAAACTATCTTAACTTAATCACCACCATTGATATGTCGACCAGTATGGACGTTGATAAAACAGAACCAACTATTGACGAAGGCCTCTATTCCCGTCAACTGTAAATATTGTTTATTAACTATGAGTTTTGCGTACTTGAATTTGCGAGTGACTAATGTTTCTTATACTCGCGTAGTTATGTTTTGGGCCATGAGGCTATGAAGAAAATGAGTGCTTCCAACGTTCTTATAGTTGGAATGAAAGGTCTTGGCATCGAAATAGGTTTGTAAACAATGGGTGATCAATTTACTGTAATGAACTCGTAGATTCATGAAATTTCAATTGTCTCTATAAGCTAAGAACGTTGTATTGGCGGGTGTAAAAAGCGTAACAATTTATGACCCGGAACCTGTTAGAATATGCGATCTATCAACACAGGTGATGCTCTACGCTATTCCTCGTAGAATTTCTGAGTATTGACCTATAGTCGGGAAATAATTCTTAAGCTTACATATCTACACTCATCCAATGCATAGTTCTTCCTTAGGGAGGAAGATGTTGGCAAACCAAGGGCAGCAGTATCAGCACCACGATTGGCTGAACTAAATCAGTATGTTCCAGTATCCGTGATCGAAGGAGAACTTACGATAGATAAACTCCAAAGTTTTCAGGTAAAAAAGGACGTGCGTGGCGTTCTTCTATGCTGTGATCGCCGATCGAGGGTGACAATTAGAATCTCTATTTAAGTGAATGGATTATACTGACCATTAATTACGCAATGTATGTTATGACAGGTCGTTGTCTTGACAGAGATTTCATTAAAAAAGCAGCTAGAAATCAACGATTTTACTCATGCGAACGGCATAAAGTTTATTGCAACTGATGTTCGTGGTCTCTTCGGGTTAGTTGATCATTCCGTTTATCTTTATATCTATATTGAAGACTGGTTACCTCCTAACTTTGTGTATTACTTTAGAACTGTATTCAACGATTTCGGATCAGAGTTTATTGTAAACGATGCTAGTGGGGAAAATCCTCTTACCGGGATGGTGGCTGCGGTGTCAAACGAAGTTGAGGGCGTGATAACATGCCTTGATGAAACAAGACATGGTCTTGAAGATGGCACTTATGTCACTTTTTCAGAGATCAAGGGAATGGTAGAATTGAACGGATGTGAACCTAAAAAAATAAAAGTTCTTGGTAAGGTTACTAATATCAAGATGCAAATTTAATGCCTTTAATCAGGAGAAATGGTTATTTATTTTCAAATCCATTTTAATAGGCCCTTACACTTTCGCTATTGATGATACATCGAATTTTGGCACCTATGTTGATGGTGGCATTTTTACTGAAGTTAAAATGCCAAAAACTCTCAACTTCGTAAGTCCGAGAACAATTTGCCATACTGCTCTCGCCACTCATTAAACGTACTAAGTTTACACCTCTTGAACAACGCTATTACGGTTAGAAATCTCTGCGAGAATCACTGCAAAAACCAGAATTTCTCATTGCCGACTTTGCTAAATTTGACCGACCGGCACAACTACACGTAGGGTTTCAGGCTCTTCACAACTTTGTTGATATTCACGGTCGTCTTCCACACCCACACAATGAAGCCGACGCTGAAGAGGTTTACCAAACAACGAAATCCATTAACAATGATTGGGAGGATAAAGTGGCAATCGATGAAAAGTTAATTAAGGAACTTGCATATGGTGCAACTGGCGACGTGTCTCCGATGGTTGCTGTATTTGGAGGATTGGTTGCACAAGAGATCTTGAAAGCATGCAGCGGGAAATTCCATCCAATACATCAATACATGTACTTTGATTCTTTAGAATCTTTGCCTAATGATATTAGCCTCACCGAGGAATCCTGTCGTCCTGTAAGAATCAAATACAATTTATAGAGAAGATAACATTGTGTACAAAGTCACAAAGCTAACGTTTTGCCTTATCAGATAGGAAGCCGTTATGATGGTCAGATTGCAGTTTTTGGTAGAGAATTCCATAACAAAATTACAAATTTTCGCGAATTTCTGGTCGGCTCTGGCGCAATTGGATGTGAAATGTTGAAGAATTGGGCAATGATGGTTTTAGGAATAGGACCTCGTGGTATTGTTCATGTTACTGATATGGACTCGATTGAAAAGAGTAACTTGAATCGACAGTTTTTATTCCGTCCTGATGATGTCGGCGTACGTACCTTGATCTATCGTTACAAATTTGTTAAATTAAAAGCTATGTATATATATTTGCATATAACATATTTGCTTTGTTTTTCTACAGCAATTAAAATCTGAGACTGCAGCTAAAGCAATTGCAAAGATGAATCCAGACATGACCAACAAGGTTGTTGCGCATCAGGACCGAGTAGGAGCGGAAACCGAGAGTATGTAATTTGTTCAATCTCTACAGTTTTTTGAAATTTGTAAATGAACCTCGATTTATATATTTTACATCTTTAGATGTCTATGATGACAGATTTTTCGAAGAACTTGACGGAGTTACTAACGCCTTGGACAACGTTGATGCCCGTAAGTTTAGTTTAACAATTTGCAGTATTCGGCTTCTACTATTTCAGAGCCATTCTCATAATCCAATGTAACTCATTATAAAGGTAAATATATGGACCGCCGCTGTGTATACTTTAGAAAACCTCTTCTTGAATCCGGGACGCTTGGTACAAAAGGCAACACCCAAGTAGTTATCCCACACTTAACAGAATCCTACTCCTCGTCCCACGATCCGCCAGAGAAATCCTTCCCAAGCTGCACTCTCAAAAACTTTCCTAATGCCATCGAGCACACTATCCAGTGGGCTCGTTACTTGTTTGAAGGGCTCTTTCGTATACCTGCGGAGAATGCAAATTTGTATTTAAGCACACCCAATTTTGTTGAACAAACGTTAAAACAAGGTGCGAGTGCTAAAGAAATTTTAGAGGGCGTGAAGACCTCTTTGGTTACGGCTAAGCCATCGGGTTTCGAAGCGTGTATACTCTGGGCTCGTTTACGATTTGAAGAGTTCTTTAATAACAATATTCAGCAGCTTTTGTTCAACTTCCCAAGGGATTCAGTATGTTTTCTTTTGAATATACTGTAGTTAGTAATTACGTAATTTCGGATAAATTCAAATCTTTTACTGTCAATATAGATCACATCTTCGGGCACGTTATTCTGGTCAGGCCCAAAGAGGGCACCTGATCCCTTGGTCTTCAACTATAATGACGTATGTACTGAGTTATCTGCAATTTAACAGCATTATCGAGAGTGGTAACTCATCATTCTATTATTTCGGCAGGACACACAATTAGAATTTATTATCGCTGGCGCCAATCTTCATGCATTTAATTATAATATAAAAGGTATCTGTTGAATTTCTACATATCTTAATGCAAGCATGGATAAGCCTTAAATCTAACATTGTTCCTTTCATAGGTGAAACCGATAAGGAGTACTTTAAGGCAGTTTTGAGGAAAATAGAAGTTCCAAAATTCAAACCTAAATCTGGGATAAAAATCCAAGTACAAGAAAATGAACCCCTGGCAGCAGAAACAACAGATGAAAAAGAGATCCAAGAAATTATCAAGATTCTCCCACCTGCTTCCTCACTTGCCGGCTATCGCATGACACCGGTTGAGTTTGAGAAGGATGATGATACGAATTTCCATATCGCCTTTATTACTGCTGCATCCAATTTGCGTGCATCGAATTATGGCATCACACCAGCAGACACTTACAAGACCAAATTTATTGCCGGAAAAATTATACCAGCTATTGCAACTACGACGTCATTAGTTGCCGGTTTGGTATGTTTGGAATTGTATAAAGTAATCGCGGGAAAAAGCAAATTAGAAGATTATAAGAATGGATTTGTGAATCTTGCATTGCCATTCATTGGATTTTCGGAGCCGATTGCTATGAAAGTGGCCGAGGTAATTAACAAGAAACTATCTACATTTCAAACAATAATGAATAGTAATACTGATCCTTTTGTTAAATAGTATCATGAGACTGAATGGAGTTTGTGGGATCGATTCGATGTTGAAGGTGATCTCACGCTTCAAGAGTTTTTGGATCACTTTAAGAACAAATTTGAATTAGAAATCACAATGTTGTCGGCAGACGTCAGCATGTTGTATTCCTTCTTTATGCCGAAAAAGAAGTTGGAGGAACGCAAGAATTTGAGGTGAGCAGCGAATTTCAGTACTTGTAGTAGACAGAATCGTATGCATATCCAGAGTCACTAACTCAAGTTTCGTTCCACCAGAATATCACAATTGATTGAGGTTATAACAAAGAAACGGATTTCCCCACATGTTCGTGCCATAACATTGGAAATGTGCGTGAATGATCGTGATGGAGAAGATGTCGAGGTAAGGCTTTTGATCTTTGTGCAATGTACAATTGAGCATAGTTGGTACCTATTTTAATATACTCTTATCTCAATTTGTTTAGGTTCCTTATGTTAGACTTGTCATTAGATAGTAGGGACAGAGGATTTCAGGTACACTTTGAAAAAGCAAGCATGACATCTTATGTATAAGTTATTGAAACCAATCAAAATAAATCCAAGAATTTGTTAATTAATATAACAATTAGTCGTGCCACAAAGAATTTGCAGTGAAATGTTTCCTAATTCGGTATCGATTATCACCTTGTAATAATTTAATATCTCGCTTTCTTCCCTACCATAAGAAAATGAACAATAACGTAAATCGTATATCTCAACAAGTTTACTCTGGTCCATATGCAAGTGTAGCGAGACTACTTCTTAAGCCTTCCTCTAGTTTGACTAGTCTTTTATTTGTCATAGAAGAATTCATACAATCTGAAGCCGAATCCTTTACATTTTTATTTGACACTTCTCTACAACTATTTTACATATTTAACAAAGTTACTACTTCTGTACTAGTCAGTAAAGAGTATGAGCATAAAAAGAAAATACAGTGGATAAAAAATGTTTGCGATCTTGTGAAGAATGAACTTGTCGGATTTGTAGTAACTGCAGGTGTATTGTAAGTTCGAGATACGAGTAGCGTGATCTGAAAAATTCGTTGGATTAAGCTGTTCATTGCTGTAGGAGAGCTTGTCAGTTAGTCAAAGAATCAGCTCGAGAAGGAATGTACAGAAACTTGATCGCGGAGATTGAAAACTTCTTTTTGACAGGCTTGGATCATGCTATAAATAAGATGGATGGACAAGGTGTGTATATATTTACTTGATCAATTAAGAAAACGTCCAATTACTTTACACCATTAACAACCCATTATATACGCGTTATTTCATGTTTTTAGAAGAAATGCAGGACGTCCTTGTTTATTTGTGTAGCGAAACTATACCAAGCATATCGTATCAGCAACTTGCTAAATTGAAATCAAAGGTATTAATACATGTTTATTCGAACTTTCTGGCTCATTGCAAGCATTCGCATGCGCGGTTTCATGGACGTTTGTTTGTTACATACTACATAGGAAACACTATTACAAACGACTTTAAGTGTGATGCTTACGAGCAAGAGATGTTTTCAGAATCTTGATTTTATCACGAGGGTTACAAGTAACCTGAAATCATCTGCTAATAAAGATTGGCAGGTAGAAGCCGTTGAAGTAGTGCCAGCTGATCCTTATCGAGTTAAGCAGTGGTGACAATATCATACTAACAAACACGACAAATACTTTCAAGCATCTGCGGGATCTTGAACAAAGCATCATGATCAAGTCTATGAAGAATATATCGAAAGTTGCTGCGTGCTTAATTGTTTATCTGAGTAAGGATGATATAAAGGCAACAATTCAAAGGTAAATGGTAACGATGATGAAAAGTGTTCTGAAAATTTCAGTGCATTTGCTGGTGCAGTGTAAATAAGTAAATGTTCTTCATAGGCTATATGACTTTACTGCACGTCTATGGGAGGAATGGGAAGAGTGTCCACTAAGTGAGAATTCGGATGAAAGTTCAGCAGGTAAGTTACGTAGGTGTTTCTCGGCTCGGATAGAGAATTGTTACAGGCTCAATGATCTTATACACTGTCTACTTAGAGGACGATATTAAAGAAGGATTGAAACTATTATGGTACATCCTAAAGATACTCCTATTCTCGGTTACAATGGTGTGTAAAGCCATTTTTGATGAATCGTTGATAAGATCTGAAGTTTGCGGATTACATGGTAATTATCGGGCGAATTCGTAATAGTAATATATGTTCAAATTTACTGCATATGCTTCAATTCACGCTTTCATTCTCCAATCCTTGTCTATTGTACCAGAGTATCAACACATGCTCCTCCTATACTCTAATGTCTACTTTATAACATCCAAATTTGGCCTTTATGGGTTCTCGGTCTATAAGATAGTGTGGTTCGGCATATTATCCCAACTAATGGAATCGGATGATTCTTGTACTTTCGTTACGCAACAACTCAAACCAAGTAGTGGGACTACGCCCGCACAAAAGAGTAAAGTGGCTTACTATTTCTTGGTGATCGAGCAGCTTATGAAAGTCTTGGACAATAATGTTGTAGAAGAAGTGCTGATTTATTTGAAATTGTATCCTATGCTTAAATTTTTGATAGGACATATACGTGCATAATTTTCCTTAACATGATTATGTAGATACCTCAGGGATAAGACTGACATGCACTTGTTTGAGTCAGCTCATGCTGTAATGATCTCTATATTTGCGAATCAGAAGACGATAATGATTGAAATCGCACCATTTTACTGTGATCTGTTACTGGACGTGAGTAGACAAATACTTGTGATCCGATTACATGATCCACCTCTAACAGCCATCTTGTAAACATGCACAGAACTATCCGGATTTATTATCTACGAACCAATGGCGCTTGACGTTCAGCACGATGATACGCTCGCTTTCAGAAGCAGATGATGCCCTTGTGTGGTATTGTCTCAGCAGACTCATAGCAAAAATTCAATCAATACCTGTTACTACATCTTCTCAAGCGGTTACTGAAAATGATACAAAAAACAAGAAAGCTCCTAGCGCAAATACAGAAGAGACCCAATCTGCTTCGCTGCATAGCAGGAGTCATATCCTGTTGATACTCATTGACCAGATTAAGACAGTCAATCTGATATTTCTGCAGACGTTACTCACAACTGTCAAAAAGTTTATTGGCCAGGAACCGGATGGACCCGAAAAGAAATTGTTACTGAAAGCAGTTTTTGATTCTTTGAGTCTCGGATTGGACTATACAAAGAAAGAGGCAGGCGTTAAATGGTGGCTTAATGAAAATCAAGAGTTGACACCAAAGTTATGAGTGCAAGTACACTGTGGAGAATGAGAGCTGAAATCGTACAAGGAGACAAGGAAATTGTGGAATCAGTGTTAAAATCTATAAAACGCGAAAGAATGTATTTATGCTTCATGACATTTACTGATATTACACGGAATGTTGCAAGTTGATAATAGTCTGGTCTAAATGGTTGAACACGCACAAATCTAACCACAGTATGATACACTATACATTAGTAATTACTTTGAATTTTTTTTCTTTACGACTTGAAAGACCTCATAGTCTTCTACGCTAAACCTCGTATTGCTATCGGTATTATTATTAACAACCCCTGGAATACTCCAAAGTATCTTTCTCTCGTAATCATTAGTCTTGGCATACGAGCCGGATATTTCGCTGAAGTTTTTACCCATGCACAAATCTCCTCTACCAAAGCATGGTCCGAATACTTCAGAGTTATAAACTGCATGTTCAGCCTGTTTAGTCCTAACCCGACTTAGCATGAACGAACTAATTTCGCCGAAAATAAATGAGAAAATAAAACTGTCTTTTGTATAAGACCACGTATTGTCTGAACCCCACGACACAGGATTATAGCCTCCAATTACCTGACCGGAACCTTGAACTTTAACAATAAGTAATGTTGCTCCTTGATCGTCACATCTGTCATGAAACGTGACAGACGAGAAACCGTCTCGACTCCCTCGAACCAATAATCTGAAATCGTACTGCACTGTTGGTGGATCTTCAGATGTCTGTCCGGGATCACGACCATTGATCCAGTTTGTGATCTCTTTGATGTACTTTTGTTCGAGTATATTTGATTTGATTGTTTTATGTCTCGGTGATTTTGTGTGAGATCTCGGACGCGCAGTAACCTTATAATGATACCGTTCCAAATCTTTATATAGGTCTGTAGGTACGATTTTCTTTAATGGCATCACTTTTAGATAAAAATCTGGTGACCGTATATTGAAGAAGCGCACATGCTCGATGCAGCCATGCATGATTGATTCAAACGTTGTAAAATCTTCTTCAGACCAGTCTGCTGGGTCTGGTGCGAGCGAAGGGCATTGTGCCATGCCCCATTTGACGAGATAATCCCAGAGTTCGATTTCTTCCATATCCAAGTCATCGCGTGTCGATAGCATGACGAGTATGTCGCTATCAGTTGAACAAAAATCTTCCGACTCGAATAGCATGCTTGGTTTTCTGCAGATCATGTTTAGATAATATTCTTGTAACTTGAGGAAACCCTGATGTCGGAATGCTGCTTTGTGGACATATGAAAAGTTTGTCTGTAACCATAAACTTTCGTTCGCGATCAAATGTTCTTCGGCATGGTCTTGAACTTCAGGAAGAATTAGTTCGTCTGCAGCCATTAGAACGTCAAATACTGCCGCTGCTCCCTGATCCTCGATAGCAACTACGCCTGTGTAAATGTAGCTAATCCGCGCAAAGTATACATTTGTTAATCATTCTCTATGTTACACCTTCTTTCTATCGCGAAATTGATGTCATCCCACAAAGAAACCATATAAAATAACGGTGCTACTTACTTCATAATAATTTCAAGTATTTCAGGCAAAATGTTGGGTTTCTTGTACATTATTTTGTTGGCCTCTTTCCTAGCCCAATTTGCAGATAGGGCCACTCTAAAGTATGGACTGCGTGCTTGTAAAATTAGCGAGTGAGCATTGAATTCTTTAACATGAGGTTCTTCGCCGGCTTGAATGATAACATCACAAGATATTTCCTCTATAAACAACCGGGCAATATCGCGCGATAATCCCTCATAACATTTAGTAGCCATTTTGTTTTCAGGTAAATCTAGCAAACTTGTCGATAGAACTATTGATGAAAGAATGAGCGGGACAAGTTTCAGCGAGAGGGACTTTACATGAATTAACAAGGTGATAAATGGCCGTCATTCTGAGGATCGTTGATGCAGAAACATGTGGGGAATGCTGTTAGTACTAACGTCTTGCATGTCATATGGCGTCACACAATATTTAGAGAAGGCAACCGTATCATGGGGTATGATGGAAATATTACTCACAATATTAAAGATCAGAATTAAACTTTAGTACGACGGCTACTAGGGGAAAGAGTTATTCGATGCACATGACTTGGAACACGTAATGCTGGCTTGTGTGTTGAAGATTTAAAGATCATTGCTATAAAAGTTCCAACAAAAGGTGAGATATGACACTCACGGAATAACGAGGAAACTTTGCTCTAAGTACTGGTTAATTATCAAGTTCCGATGAGTAAATTTTACAGCAGCGCAACTGAATTGATACAAAGCAGTTTTATTGCAGTGGTTGGAGTGTTGCGTTCATTATAAGCTGCACCTACGATAGAAGGCTTAGAGGTGCATATTGCAGTGGTTGAGTAGCGACCAACATTCATAAATTAGAGCACAGAGATCGATAATCTCGAGGATATGTTTCTATTAATAGAAAAACAGCTGGCCTTGTAAGAGGAAACATTAGAGTATCCTACCAACCTCATCACTTGATTGCTTTTGAAATAATAGTAATGGAAGGTTCTTTCAGATTCCTAATACGGATCGATATCCTGGTAATAATTTCTGACAAATTCCCAGTATTAACATTAATATGAATCAATATTCCGGAATGAGGTAATCGTCTTCACGAGAATTTCAGTTATTGAAGAATCAGGCGGGCGTGTACATTTTTAAGTGGTCCAGCTTTTAGCCTTAATCGTCTACGCCCGTGGGACAAGTATTTTTTAACCTTGAATGACAGATGTCACGCCACCAAAAGCCTTTAACTTGAATAACATTTTTATTAATTGTGCAACGATACATTCTTCATCGTGTGCAACACTGTCTCTTACTTATTGCTGCTCAATAAACCATTCCCGGCATGCTTTGAATTAAATTAACACAAGTGCTTTTTCCAAACTCTTCCCAAACACTTTTATTTAAGCTTCTTAATATCATATACTTAGAAGGCAAAATAAAGGTTAATTATAGGCGTCTTGAATACCATTTTGCCCACAGAGTGGTTATGATCTTGCGACGTCAGTCAATCAAAACCTTATCGTTGTATTTTTAATAACAAAACGAAAAGTGTAAGTTATGTAACCGAGTTTTTTCGTCAGTGCTACATACATAGAATAGAACGTATTAGTTGACTGTTTTGATTAGACGCGTATTTTGGAAGGAAATAAAGTTTATGCATTTTATTCCAAAAACTTTTTTCGCACATTGTATCTTTGGAGCCTTTATGGTCGGCGCAATCATTTCTCACTCGGACGGATTTGCCTTGGGTATTGCCGAGAGAGTTGTATACTCATAGTCAAAGCTTCAGACCCGTTTTTGTAGACAATAGCTTCATTCAATGCAAGCACAGGTGACATGAGATTGCATGTCTCATGCGTGTTTTCGGTTCCACCATTCAGATACCGACAACAATAAACATATTTAAAGACATTATCCCCCAAATTCTTTAACCATTGCAATTTTTTGCTTATTGAAAATTAAAATCATTAAACTCTCCCTCAATGTTAACACCACCGCCACCAAAAAAGAGTTAAAGCAAAAGGAGGTCCTCAGCTCCTCAACCTATGAGCAACTCGTCAGCTCCCCCTATGAACTTAAGACCCTATTGGAACGGCATGGTCTCAGAAATTGTGGTTATCCATTGTGACTGACTCTGCCGCAACCTTATCCACTCCCTTCATACTACAAAACTCATGGTTTCCGTAAACGAAGCAACCTCCGACGCGCACGAACTTTCCCAAGATATCCCTGCAATCAAACAAGGAAGAAGAGTCGCCCGACGAGAACCCCAAACAAGGAAAAAGCGCAATATCAGGACAACAGCAACACGCAACAAACGACAACACTTGGAAGCTCTCCATCGTACGTTGCTGATAAAAATACCCTTCAAAGCAGTTATTGAAACGGTGGGTGGGCTTGTCAAGATATGCTTATAATGCAGTTGTCCGATACCGTCGTTTCTATACCAAAGATTCATGTATTAGTCCATCACGACGGGTTTGAATAAATCTCAACTTATTGAAGATAAGCTTAAGCTTTACACGGATGTTCGTGTAGGAAAAGACGTTAATGAGCATGAGGATGAGAGACTTCAAAAATCTTGCGTATGAGGTGAACGCAAATTTGTGCGAACTGTTGTGCGTATTGGAATGCTGCACATGGCAAAGCGCCTGCAAACATTATCGATGAGGCGATTGATGAAACATTAACTGCTAGGTATAATTGGTTTTTTTTATTCCAATTTTAGGGACAAGATAATTAACAGAATCAGCAAAGTTTGTCTTCGAAATGATTTTTCAAAATTCACGTGAAACCGTTTCTATTCACCCATCTCCATAACCCATCAATGCTTTCCGCATACCGTCATAAGCCTGTTATCACTCTGGACGACAAACGCGATTTGTGGCCTCTTCATTTCGAAAAAAAAAGGTATAATAATAAGTGGCCTGTTCCTCACATAATAACGTCCGATTGCAAGATCACATATATTCGCAAAGCTAATGAATGGAAATTTTCATGGGTTTACAAGACGCAAAAACGACTCCAGTCGGATGGTTCTGTTCATGCAGTTTCCATTGACCCTGGCGTTCGTACCCCATTCACCATACTAAAGATGTAGGTAAAATTGGCCAATACGACATTGGACGAATTATTCGTCTATGCAAGCATATGGATAGTCTTCTTTTTATAAAGGACAAGCTGGCTGCCTCTAGTTCAAAACAAAGGCCTTGCGATTCGATAAGGCAATCTTTCAGATGCGACGAAAAATCAAACACCTGCAAAGTGAAGTTCATAAAAAGAGTGTCGCATTTTTTACTCGCAAATTTGATGCTATTATCATTCCTCCTTTGGATGTGTCGAATATGGTAAATCGAAAAACAAGAAAGATAACACGAAAAACCGTTGTAAAATGCTCTGTTGGGCCCACTATCAATTTCGCCAACGTCTGGTGGCTAAAGCAGAAGAATTAGGGGTCCATGTTATTATCCAAAAT